CCAGCTGTTAGGTGTCAGTAAAATTTCATACATGCATGACACTATGACACTAATTTCTTAATCAGTAAATTTCCCATTTAAAAGATAATTACAGACTTCCCAAATCCCATAATTAAATGGGTTCTTGAGTTAATGATAAGAATCAGTGGGCCTAATTTACCTCTCACAGACTTATATCCATGTAATTCTAATGGATTTTAGTTAAACACCTAATTCATGACAACGAACATCATGAAAATCAGACTGACAAACCATAATAGAGCACTGTGGAAATTACTACCGGATAAAATATCCCAGGGAATAATATTTCCATATTCTCTCAATGTTAGAAAAATAGGACTTTTTCTCCTAGGAGTCAAAAAAAAAAAAAAAAATCCATACATTATGATTTCCTACTTAAGCTATATAAATTCCCATTTTATAATTTCTGCAGGCTGAGCTGAGTTGAATTCACAACTTGGTTAGTCAAGTAAACTGCCAGTTCCAGAAAGGCATTAATCTTGCTTTCTTAACGCTCAGAATTGGCCAATAACATTCACTTGCCTAAGAATGTGAGATAGTGTACAAGAGTCAGGCTAACAGCTGCTTTAAAAATTAACTTTCTAACACTCATTGAATTCAAATAAGCTAAACATAGAATCATAGAATCGTTAGGGTTGGAAAGGACCTTAAGATCATCTAGTTCCAACCCCCCTGCCATGGGCAGGGACACCTTACGCCCCACCTATCACCCAAGGCCTCGTCCAACCTGGCCTTGAACACTGCCAGGGATGGAGCATTCACAGCCTCCCTGGGCAACCTATTCCAGTGCCTCACCACCCTCACAGGAAAGAATTTCCTTCTTATATCCAACCTAAACATCCCCTGTTTAAGTTTTAACCCGTTACTCCTTGTCCTGTCACTACAGTCTCTAATGAAGAGTCCCTCTCCAGCATCCCTATAGGCCCCCTTCAGATCCTGGAAGGCTGCTATGAGGTCTTCATGCAGCCTTCTCTTCTCCAGGCTGAACAGCCCCAACTTCCTCAGCCTGTCTTCATACGGGAGGTGCTCCAGTCCCCTGATCATCCTCGTGGCCCTCCTCTGGACTTGTTCCAACAGTTCCATGTCCTTTTTATGTTGAGGACACCAGAACTGCACACAGTACTCCAGGTGAGGTCTCACAAGAGCAGAGTAGAGGGGCAGGATCACCTCCTTCGACCTGCTGGTCACGCTCCTTTTGATGCAGCCCAGGATACGGTTGGCTTTCTCGGCTGGGAGCGCACACTGCCAGCTCATGTTCATTTTCTCATCAACCAACACCCCCAAGTCCTTCTCCGCAGGGCTGCTCTGAATCTCTTCTCTGCCCAACCTGTACCTGTGCCTGGGATTGCTGCGACCCCGGTGTAGGACCTTGCACTTGGCACGGTTGAACCTCATGAGGTTGGCATCAGCCCACCTCACAAGTGTGTCAAGGTCCCTCTGGATGGCATTCCTTCCCTCCAACATATCAACCGAACCACACAGCTTGGTGTCATCAGCAAGCTTGCTGAGGGCGCACTCAATCCCACTGTCCATGTCAGCAACAAAGATGTTGAACAAGACCGGTCCCAACACTGATCCCTGAGGGACGCCACTCGTTACTGGTCTCCAGCCGGACACTGAGCCATTGACCACAACTCTTTGCGTGTGGCCATCCAGCCAGTTCTTTATCCACCCAGTGGTCCATCCATCAAAATGATGTCGCTCCAAGACAAGGATGTTGTATGGGACAGTGTCGAAAGCTTTGCACAGGTCCAGGTAGATGACATCAATTGCTCTACCCCTGTCCATCAGTTCTGTAGCCCCATCATAGAAGGCCACCAGATTGGCCAGGCAGGATTTCCCCTTAGTGAAGCCATGCTGGCTGTCTCCAAGCACCTTGTTGATTTTCATGTGCCTTAGCGTGCCTTCCAGGAGAATCTGCTCCAGGATTTTGTCAGGCATAGAGGTGAGACTGACTTGTCTGTAATTCCCCGGGTCATCCATTTTCCCGTTCTTGAAAATGGGGGTTATATTTCCCTTTTTCCAGTCATCGGGAACTTTACCTGACTGCCGTCATTTCTCAAATATGATGGCCAGCGGCTTCGCAACTTCATTCACCAGCTCCTTCAGGACCCACGGATGGATCTCATCAGGACCCATGGACTTGTGCACATTCAGATTTTTAAGATGGTCTCGAACCAGTTCCTCTCCTACAGTGGGCCCAAGGTCTTCATTCTCACAGTCCCTGCATCTGCCTTCCAAGACTTGGGTGGTGTGGTCAGAGCCTTTGCCAGTGAAGACTGAGGCAAAGAAGTCATTCAGAACCTCAGCCTTCTCCAAATCCTGTGTAGCCAGTTCTCCTGAGAGCTTCCTGAGGAGGCCTACATTCTCCCTAGTCTGTTTTTCATTTGCTATGTACCTGTAGAATCCCTTCCTGTTATCTTTAATACCTCTAGCTAAGTTTAATTCTAACTGAGCCTTAGCTTTCCTAACCTGGTCCCTACCTTCTCAGACAACATCCCTGTACTCTTCCCATGGCACCCGTCCTTGCTTCCACTTATTATAAGCCTCTTTTTTCAATTGAATTTTCCTCAGCAGCTCCTTATCCATCCAAGGGATGGATATCCATCCTGGCCCTCCTGCTGCACTTCCATCTGGTTGGGATGCAACACTCCTGAGCTTGCAGCAGGTGATCCTTGAATATCAAGCAACAGTCTTGGGCCCCTCTGCCCTCTAGGACTGTATCCCATGGAACCTTCCAAAGCAGGTTCCTGAAGCAGCCAAAGTCTGCACTTTTGAAGTCCAGGGCAGTGAGCTTGGTGCACGCTCTTCTCACTGTCCTGAGGATCTCAAATTCGAGCATCTCATGATCGCTGCATCCAAGGCTGCCCTGGAGCGTCACATTTCCAACAAGCCCTTCCCTGTTGGTGAGCACGAGGTCAAGCACGGCACCTCTCCTTGTCAGCTCCTCTATTACTTGCAGAAGGAAGTTGTCTTCTACACAATTGAGGAACCTCCTGGATTGCTTGTGCCGGGCCGTACTGTCCTTCCAACAGATGTCAGGGTGGTTGAAGTCACCCATGGGAACAAGGGCCTGCGAGCATGAGGCTTTTCCTATCTGTCTATGGACTGCTTCATCTGCAGGTTCTCCTTGATCAGGCAGTCTGTAACAGATCCCCACAGTAATGTCTCCCATAGCTATATTCCCTTTAACCCTGACCCACAAACTCTGTGGACTGCTCACCTGTGCCCAGACAGAGTTCCATACTCTCCAGCCTATCCCTAATATAAAGGGCAACTCCCCTTCCCGCCTGCCAGGCCTGTCTTTTCTAAAGAGCCTGTAACCTTCCATTCCAACACTCCAGTCGTAGGAGCCATCCCACCATGTTTCTGTGATGCCTATTATATCATACCCCCGTAGACGTGCACACATCTCTAATTCTTCTTGTTTGTTCCCCATGCTATGGGCATTTGTATAGAGGCATCTGAGCCAAGCTCCAAATGAAGCCAGCTTATCGGCTGGAGCGGCTGGAATATCTCTACATTGCTCCAAGCATTTATTATAGGTTCTGGCAACTGACTGGGTGTGTTGGGATGGAATGATGCCCCCCTCCCCCAACACATCTACTTTAAAGCCTCCTTGACCAGTCTGGCAAGCATCCTACCAAAACTGCTCTTTCCCTTTGACCAGCTCCACCAGCCCCCACTAGACCTGGCCTACAAGCTTGGATCCCGTGTTCAAGACACCCAAACCCCTGACTGTGACACCACCCTTTTAACCATTTATTAACCTGGCCAATACTTGTAGCTTTTTTTAGGTCCTCCCCTGTACCCTGGAGAATTGATGAAAAGACCACCTGAGCTCCAGAGCCCCTAACCACCTCCCCCAGGGCTCTGTAGTCCTTCTTTATGTTCCCCAGGCTACTACTATCTATATCCCTAGCACCCACATGTATCACCAAGAGTGGGTAATAGTCCATGGGACTTACTAGAGCAGGCAGCCTCTCTGCCACATCCCTGATCCGTGCCCCCGGTAGGCAACACACCTCCCTTGAGAGGGGGTCTGGCCGGCAGACAAGTGCTTCTGTCCCTTTCAGTGTAGAGTCCCCTACTACTACGACCCGCCGCTTTTTCCTGGCAGCACCAGTAGAGATCTTCTTTAGCAGTGCATCAGCCGGCTGCTTCTGGCTCGAGTGCACTTCCTCATTAGCCCCCTTGCAGGACAGCAAAGCGGTTCTGCGTGGGGACAGGGGATTTAGGGGGAAGTCCCTTGCTTTTGGTTGTCCTTTTCCTTCTTTTTTTTTTTTTGTTTTTTTTTTTTTTGGTCACTATTTCCCAGCTTCCCAGGTTAACGGCCTCCTTCTTTCCTTCATGAGGTAGAGGTGAAGCTCGAGGGCCCTGCACAGTTTGGGCCAGGAGCAAGCATTCCTGCTTCCTCTCAGCTTCCCAGACGCCTTGCAGTCTATTAACAGCATCCCGCAGCTCAGCCCCTGCTGCAGGAGGACCTCCACCAGGGAGCACCGTGTGCAGCCCTGCCCATTGTGCACCCTCCCCTCACCAGACCAGTGCAGGCACTCTCTACACCCCGAGCTCTGCCCTGCAGCCTCCCCTCTCATCGGCTCTGTCTGGGTGCCTGCGCTGGCCACCGCCGGGGCAGCCAGAGCAGAGCTCCCAGACCGGGCCCTGATCATACGCCGAGCGCTCACCATCCCGCTCGCCTGCCCGCGCAAACTGCCTCGACCCGCTCTGTTCGCCGCGCTCCCTGGGGCAGGTTTTTACCCAGTCAGGGCTGGTGCCGCTCCTCCTGGCTCCGCCCCCTGTGAGTCCCTGCTCGAATCAGCTGAGCTGCCGGCTCATGGGCAGGTCCTGTCGAGGACTTGAGGCTCCCTCGGTGGCTCTCGCCGCTCTGAGTTGAGGCTCCTGGACGCTGATCTCCCCCCCGCTCCGGTGTTCAAGGCGTCCTCTCTCGAGCTACTCACCTCAGCAATTGACCGAATATGGGTAAACTGCTTTCAATAGTAGCATATGCGAAGTGAACCAGATTAACAAGGTGAAGAGTATAGATTGGACATGCTCCGAATTAGGGATGACTGGTGTTTTGGCTTATTTTTATACACCAACGTATTGATTATTGGAAATGTTCATACAAAACTGCACTGAACCACCTTTGAATATCAGACCTAGTTTTTAGTTGTGTTTGTCTGCAAATAAAACAAAGTCCTCTTCACCTACAGCATTTTCTCTAACAATGAAACTCTAGCTTCTTCCTACAGCTTCTGTTTCCTTTCTTCACTATTCACTGGAGATATGCCTGGTGACTCTAGCTGTGGCACTTTAGTAGACTGCAAAGCCAAAAGATGGGTCCTAAAGATCATGTGTGATAAAGTCACAAAGTTCTATTTATAAAATCCAAATTCTGACCTAGTCCACTGAAGTGAGGTGTCAGAACATAATGTGCTGCTGGTAAATTGCATGTATAAGATGCAAAAATTCCAAAATATCACAGGCCTAAACTGATGATACAACCTCTTCCAACAGCTAAGGAGCTGTTGTGTGTTCTCAGGTGTCATAACTATCCGCAATGCCACTTAAATAATGAGAATGTCCAACAATAATTTATGTCCTTCAACAAAAAAATATGTAGAAGAATGGAAGACACCTACGTGAACCATGAAACATTCCCTGAACCAGCTTGTAAAAACCAAATATTACCTGACAAATTTACCTCTGCCTTTACCCCAGTGCTGTGCCAGCTCTGTCCTTGCCTTCTGCCCTGCAGCTGCACTGAGCATCGCTTTGTGCTGCAGTTTCCCCGAGTGCTGCTTTGTTGGCGTGGTTGCAGCAGGCAGGTGGTTTAGGTAAAATGTGTAAAGTTCATCATTTCAGGGACCCTTTGTAGGTACTGCTGAGGGAAGATTACCAAATCAAATTAATTTGCTGTTAGCAAGTGCAAATCAACTCAAATTTCAGGTAGAACCTGGCCTATTGTGTTTACATGGTCTGAGGACATGTTATAAAAACATTTTTTAAGACTCCAGTCACTTTCACCTCAGGGATTTTTGAGGTATGTTGTTTATGTCAGGATTACCTTGAACTATGTTTTAGAAACAGCCAAACGTTCTCCAAAGCAAAGCACAACAAATGCCATTACAGAATAAACAGTAAGGTTTGGTAGTTAAGTAGGTGAGCTAGAGATATAAGGAAAATGTGATTTAAAGAGCTTGCTGTGGTTTTGTTGTTTTGTTGTCTTTTAAGAATGAGTGGAAAAGCATGGTTGTATGGAAAAAAATATTAATAGGGCAACTGATGAATATATGTACAATCAAGGTCCCATGTAACATCTAACATTTCTATGCTCTTGTATGTTTTTTTAAATGAAAAAAGGAGCAAAACCTATGAAACTTTGGTTAAGCATGCGCACTGAAGATGAAAATAGAATGTCCCAAGGGGAAACAGTTAACCAAAAATTGTAATTTTTAACCTATACCTGCAGCTATCAAGTTAGACAAATTTATGTAAACCATTGCTAGCAGTGTCCCACCAAACATCTGCTTTCTGTCGCTAGTCAGCATGCATTTTTTTTCCTAAATTGAAATAGGTTTTATTGAGTTTTGTTATAACAGGTGACAGAAGAAATCAGACACTAAAATATTCCACACAAATATGTGATCCAGGCATTCACTTACACATGAATAAATGTGGGCTTACTAACATGCTTCAGTCACACACAGTCAAGTCCAGAACACAAAAGTGTATTTCTTATTTCCAAATCCAAAAATTTATCTTCTGCTCAAAAGACAGTACGATAACTCAAAAGGAAGTTGTAAAGCATAGACCTCTGGTGATAGTACAATAGCACATACCTCCTGGAGATGTGTGTCTTTGTTTTCTGAATCCCAGAGTTGTATAGCTTACAATTTGACAAATTGTAAGCTCCATGTATCTTTTTTTAGGCATACTTGAATCTATTCCTCATCATTTAATTAATTAAGACAAATATTGTGGTGCTTGTTTGTTGCCTTGATGTAAATACTGTGGCTAGGAAGAGGCAAGACTCTTCAGCCAAGTTTTGTGAGATGAATAATTTATTCTTTAAGCATAATATATTGAGAAGGGTAATTTAAGTAAGCTTGCAACTAATACAACTAATTAATTGACCCAGAAGCATCAAATTGGCATTTGATATTTGAGGTAAGCACAAAAAAATTAATTCATACCATAAATCAGATATATTTATACCATAAATCTGATAAATTTGTGTCAGATATATAGAGAGCTATTATAGTACACATTTCTTTGTAACTGGTCAAATTGTCCAAGTTTACATAAAGGCTCAGTGTATGATTCTCTTCTGCCTACTGCATATGAAGGTATAAAAGTTAGTTATTTTCTTGCTATTCTGGTCAAGTGTTATTCATGAAACTCCATTTAGAGCGTGGAAGAATTTACAGCACAGTGTTTCAGCAGAATACCAGTTTATCAGTTATGAATGTTTTTAAATTTATCCAGACTGTTGACCTGGCAGATTAGCATTCCCCATATCTTTTTATTTTAGAAATTCCAGAATTTCCAGTGGTATCTGAGATGGTATTCCAGTGGTATCTGAGACTTCCATCCCTGGGAAGGTTATGGAGCAAATCCTCCTAGGGGCTATCACAGGTCAAATGAAGAGTGTAATTGGGAAAAGCCAGCACGGATTCAGTAGGGGCAAATTGTACTTGATAAACCTGATCGCCTTCTATGACAAAGTGACCTGCTCACTTGGTATGGGGAGAGTGATGGACATTGTCTGTATGGTTTCCCACATCTCCTCCTTAAGAAACGGATACATATAGTATAAGTGGATAAGTGGTCTGTGCTGTGAGTGGGGATCTGGCTTACCAGCTGCCCTCAGGAGCTGGTGGTGAGAAGGCGACTCCTTTTCAAAGCGGCAGTCTATCACTAGTGGATTGATATTGGCTTCAATGCTGTTTAATACTCTGTAAATGATCTGGAAGATGTGATCAAGTGTACCCTAACCAAGTCTTCCAGCAGTACCAAACTGCGTCGGGAGGTGGACACTTTGGAAGGGAGAGTCACTCTGTGGGATGGAAGAGTGTGCTAGCAACAACCTCACAAAGTTCAACCAGGAAAAGCGATGGCTGGCCTATGATCCTGGCTCACTCTCCCTTATGTGACTGCAGCTTTTGCTGTCACCAAACCTGAACACGCTTTAAACAAATTGGTTTCTACCTGCTGCTATCAACCTTGTCGTTTAATAACTAAGGTATGTCGAAGGGGTTTGTAGCCCACCGCTTACTTCTGTAAATCGAGATCTTACTGTAAAAGGCTACCTAGGAAGCCCGCATTTCCATGCCGGGGACGCCAATTTTCAGTTAACAGCTGGGACCAAAATTCAGGGATATTTTATCTTATGCTGCCATCTCCTGGCAAATGGCTCAATTACAAATAGAGTGGTAAGTAAAAGAGCTCTGCAAGGCCGCAGTACTGAAAGTAAAGCTGGCCTGACGTTAATGGCGGTTTCTGCCTCCTTCCAGGGGCAGCGGCCTGAGGGGAAGGGCAGGTTTCCACTGCCGGCTTCTCGCACCGGTGGCCTCGGGCAGCTGTATTGTAGTTTGAATGTAGAGGCTGTATAGAGCAAGGTGAAAACAGCCCCGTGATTTCTGGTCAGTGGCTTGTAGTCGGTGAGGTGAAAATACGTTGTCGGTGGGATTTGACAAAGGCTGGTGTAAAGGCGTGGGATGTTTCTGCAGGACAGTTTAACCTAGCAAAGAGGTTACAAATGGGACCTGTCTTCTGTGCTGGCACAAGTTAAAAGTAGAAATGACACAATCTGCTGTTGCCTGTGTAAGAAAGGATGGCAGTGAGCCCAGGTGCCTTCCCACTGCCTGCCTGAAGCCGCAGCCCTTTGGGAGGTTTTACAAACTTTCCCTTCCCTAATGATTGTATCAATCGGTCTTTACAGTGTGATTGATGGAATATTAACTTTGTTAATTTGTATATTCAGATTATACACTGTAATGTAATGATGTAGTGGAATTTTACTGGATGCTTTAGTATTGTTCACACTTAAGTAAAACAAACTAAAGAACAACCTGGCCCTGAAAATAAGGACTTTGCTTCTTGGAAGCTTAAAGCTGTCCATTAAGGATAAAGGGTACACCTGCATAACCAAGATAACGGCAGTATCCTAGCCCCTCTGACATGTCTTTGAAACCTTCTTAGTGTGGTCTGGTATCATAGATAAGTAACTATAGCAAGACAGACTCCAGGGACATCTGAATACATAGACAAGCAGCAGGAATGCTGCAAAAATGTAATTGCATAGTTTTACTATGATTAGTAATCAGTAGTGTGGGTGTTAGTGATCAGTCTATTTGTGTTGTACCTGAACACTTGAAGGGTATAAGAACCCTGTGTAAAAGAACATTTGGGGTGCTCCAGTTTGTCTGGGACACCCTATGTGCATGAATAAATATTTACCATTGTAATTGTGTACTTTGTGTCCTAGATTCTCTTGGTTGACAGGGAGCAGTAGTGAATTTTTGTGATAGGTGGGCAGAACTGTACCGTGGCTGCTGTGCCCCTTTGTGTCCAAGTGATACTGGAAATGGCCGATTTGGGATTACCCAGGGGCAACCTGTATTGGTTTTCCCTGTGTTTGGGGTATAACTTAGTGTAAAGAAAGTACCATTGACACAGGTAATCAAAGCCTGGGACGTTTGCTTAAGGGGAGGAGAAAGACAACTAGCTGTTTGGGAAACCACTTCTTTCACTGACCTCCATGAAAGGACTTTTGATGCTTTTCCACTCATTTGACTTGGGCATAAACTGCAACAGTTCTATAGAAGTGTGGATGATATTTAGATGAATAGGGGTTGTACCTTTGATGACAAGATAGAAAAAAATAAAATGTTCCTGCTGTAGAGAATTATGCAATATTTCTTAACTAGTAAACTTCTGTGCAGGGCTTTAGGGATGAAAGGAGAGAACAAAAGAGTGCTAGAACTTGATTTTTATTTGCTAAAGGAGTATTCTTAATCATGTTGGTCCAGGGTATTGTGTGACCTTGTGTTCTTTGTATGTTTCAGGAAGTGGCAATGTCTAAGATCTGAAGTGGCTCCCCACAGGCTCTTCAGCTGCTGTAGAGCTGGAGTTGATGTGTGGCGTTTCATGTTCTTGCAATGCCACAATTTTAGCTCTGTAAACACAGATACTGTATTGCTGGGGAACTTCACTGAAACATGCTAAGAGCTACACAAGTAGCCCACACTGCACGCACTGTTGATTAAAAAGTCATGGCGACTTTCATCAGTGATTTATACAATGTCATCTGGGTGTTGTGAATAATTTGTTTTATTTTCAGTAGTGGATAGACAAGGATTGATGTATGTTTGGGTCTGCTGCTTAAAGTTGTTTCATGCACTTGAAGGGTTATCACTGAACTGTTAGGGCTTTTTAGTCTGAATTCAGTTAGCTGGCATAACAGTGTGAAGACTCAGTGTCATAAGCATTATTTATAGCTGTTTGAGTTGAACCCAGGTTGATACAATTTTGATAATGGGGGAAGACTTGTAGAAGAAATGAAAGATGTCTTGGTGGGTTTTTTTACACATAGCCTCAGGTACTGCTTTGGTGGCAGCGTAGCTTTTGATCTCTCCCCATCTCATGCTGCAAGAGTTACTTGCAAAAACATGAATAGATACTGGAGAGTGAACAGCTTTCCCTAAACACCTACTGGATAGTCACCTGGGTTGGACTCTAATTTTTCTCTCCATTAATTATAATCATATATAGGTGGCTACATTTACATTACTGTGCTGTGATTTGTTAATCGTCAGCTGAAGTGTTTCCTGAATTGTTGATATGACTTAGGGAAAGAAGCAGCCTCTCAGTGTTCCTGTTGGTATTACTTACTGCATGGCATATTTGCTGTTCGGAATCAGCACATTTGTTGTTAATTGTTTCAAAATGAGGGATCAGATTTTAAATAGTGTTTTGTGGGGGATTTTTTGTGTTGTTTTTTTTTTTTGTGTGTGTGGTTTTTGTTGGTTGGTTGGCTGGTTGGTTTTTAAGTAAAAATAAGTTGCTACTTAAAACACAGGGATGTTGTCAGCAGTTAATCCTGAGAGGTCTGAATCCTATTCTGAAACCTATTTTTTCACTTTAGAGATTTTTATCTTTTCAAGTTTACTTTGTGAGCGTTTTCAGGAGCTAGGCTTTGTAGAGTTCTTAAAAAAAAAAACACATGAAAGATCCCGGTTGGAGACAAAGGTTTCATTCACTTCAGCAGGCTGCTTGCGTCACTGGCTGAGAAAGGGTGCTGAGATTTAGGACTTCCAACCTGATTTCTGGCACTAGGAGGGTGACGTCATTTCCTGAGTTATGTGACCATGTTGGAAAATTAAAAAAACGTGATTTTTAAACAGCCAACTTTACTTAAAAGCCCAAGAAATGACACATTATGCTTAAATAGCAAATTCTACAATAAAAATTCTTTCAAAACAGTGAAAAGGGACCCCGAAAAGTGTGCTTTTTACAGCTCAGGGAATTTTTAATTTATTGCAATAATAAGATTTTATAAAATAGTTAATTGTTGAGTTACAAAATAAAATACATAATTTCTTTATAACCATGAAACAAAGGTACTGTGTACCAGAATTTGGTGTTGCAATATACCACTTTTACTGATAACTGACAAAACCTCTGTTGTCACCAAATGAGAATGCTGTGGAAAACCATGCTCCATACATTCAACTTGGTTGTACTGTATGGTTTTAATTTTTTCTTGCTTTGAGATGAAGAACCATGCAAGAAGAGCAGTAGATGATGAACCATGCATATACTCTATGCAGCTTCTGAATCCCAAGGCAGTCAAATGTTTGATATATACGAAGAACACTTTTCTTCTCTAATACAAATGATTTCTATCTATTGGATTTTCAGTGGGGGTTGTATTCAGAGTGGTGCTTTCTGTGGCTTCAGAAAGAAAATAATAAAGTAGTGGTGGTGCAGAGTCAATGAAGAGCAATGTGGCATGTCTGTGAGTGAATGTCGAAATAGTAAGGCAACAGGGTGTTCTTAGGAGATATTGTTCACAAGCAGGGCCTGAAGCAATTTCTGAAGACCAGATGAACTAGCAATCTGCTCATTACTATCATCATCTAACATTAGCCGTGGATCATCCTGAGTTTCTTGAAAAACACTGGGAAAAATATTATCATGGTGGTGTGAAAATTGAAAGGATACTGGCAAGTTGCCCAGAGTCCTTTCTTCATTTTCATAGTAACAGTAATATGCAGAAAAGAATACCATTTTTTGCTTTCTTGAGTTGATGTCTAAAAATATTTGTGGCAAATTGAACAGAACACGGTAAGTATTTTGAAACAGAGTAGAGCTAGTACATTACATACCAGCTTTGTGAAGTTGCCTGTATGCAGTGAAAATCAAATTGCTTTTTAAAGACCATTTCTAGAAATGTCTTTGTCCTCCTGTGGACCAGAAAGTAACAGCACTGAGTTTCCCTAGATATCTTTCAAAGAGAGAAGATGACAACTGCTATCCCTGGTTGTGTGGATTTGAAACTTATCTACTAAGCACATTGAAAGAGTCTTACTGGCATCAAGGAGAAACTACCTTCTATTTATTGTACTGGAAAACATGTGGATAGACTTATTCTCAACTATCTGCAAGTTCTTTTTGTTTCATCCAGAAACTTCAATGGTAAAATAGTTAATCTCATACAGCCATAAATCTACATTAAATATATAACAATAAACTCATATTTATGTAAAAGTACATTAAGCAGCTGGATCAAAGAACTTGAGAACTTGATTATAACTGAAATTTATAAAAATGGCAATCTTGCTCTAGTTAAAAGGAGATTTGAAGCTAAAATGAAAACATTGCATGCTAATTAATTAGATATAGATGTTATTTATGAGTAGAGAACTTACTGTGTGAGAATTCCTTGAGCAGATTTTGTAACTAAAAAAAAGCTTTAAAATGGGGCTTTTCTATATTGCTCTGAAAAAGTCCCATTCTCCCCCCAATAAACAGCTGTAAGGAAATGTTCTGATATCAGTACTGGAATTGCTGCAGTTGTTATGAGAGAGTTCTGATGCTTGACCTGTTATTTGTGAAGGTGTAGGACCTCTAGAGGTGTATTAGTTGTGCTTTGCTGAGGATTTGAATAGAATCAGTAATGGCACAGACTGTAATGAATGCATGAAAGAGGTGTAAGAAGATGCGTCTGTTGCTCCAGTGTCTTGGGGGCAGATACATTAAAGACTACAGTCTTTATGGGAGATCAGACTAGTCTGTTAAATACTTTAAGAAGGTCCCTATTACAAACAAAAAAAGTAACATGATGCCCCTGAAGTATAAAAAAGGGGTAAGTAAAAGTAAGTTGTTTTCTCCTCCTTTTTACACACTACAGCATGTAGTCTAAAAGCATGTCTTTGCTCAGAAATCTAGACAAAATCTAATCCCGTAACTTGTGTGCATACAGGTTTTTCAATTTACTTTTGTTACTGAATATTTAGTCTTTCTAGATATAATTTTAATTTCTAGTTAACAAGGAAGGCATTGTTTTTCTTTCTATTTCCTGTGTTGTGAATGCCTCGGGGGAGTAGGATTACCTGGAAGGCTTGATCATAACTCCTGTAAAGAAGAAATGTTGAGGCAGGTTGTGTTTGTCTTTTAGCAAGAACTTGAGATTCCTTTTTGTCTTAAATTTGGTACAGAAGATGTTATGATTAGAAGGTTGGCCCTTCTTTACAATAAGAAATCAGAGTGCAAAAATGATTTTTTTTATTGTCTAGCTGTTACTATTTAAGAAGACAGGTGAGATACGAGAAAACAGATGCACATCCCTCAGAAATGAATAAATCTTTTGTTTCTAAAACTGAAGGTAATCTATGTTTGCAGTTGGTGCATAATGGAATTAAGAAGGCCCTCCAGTAATTTAAAGAGACTAATTTTATTTCTCTTAGTTTTGTTCTCCAGTAACCAAAAAAGTGAAGATCCTGGAAAACTGCAGTAACTGCATGAAGACTTTTTGTCCATATCAACATTTATTTTTATGCAAAGCCATTTTTTTACTTATGGTAACATGAAAGTGTCCTGGGTTCAGCAGTAGCAGTCATTTTTCTCCTTCATGGTAGCTGGTGCAGTGCTGTGTTTTGACTTCCAGCCTGGGAACAGTGCTGGTGATACCAATGTTTTCGGTTGTTGCTAAGCGATGTTTACCCTGACCAAGGACTTTGTGAGGCTCATGGTCTGCCAGGGAGGAGGGGAAGCCGGGAGGAAGCAGAGACAGGACGCCTGACCCAGGCTAGCCAAAGAGGTTTTCCATACCACAGCACATCATGCCCAGGATGTAACTGGAATTTACCCGGAAGGACAGGGGCTGCTGGGTCGGACTCAATTCTTGGCCGGTGGTATTGTATTCTCTTCCCTTGTTATTTTCTCTTATCATTGTTGTCGTTGGTGGTAGCGGTGGTGATTTGTGTTGTACATTGGTTGCGGGACTGTTCTTGTCTCAACCCGTGGGAGTTGCACTCTTTCGATCCTCCTCCCTGTTCCTCTGGGAACAGGGAAGGGGAGAGCCCCGTGGGGGGGGGCTTGACTGCTCTCAGCCCGGCACCACTCCCTGGGAGTGAGTGAACAAGCTGTCTGGCTAGGGTTTAAACCATGACAGTTCTTTTGGCGCCCAGTGTGGGGCCCCAGGGATTGAGATAACGACAGATCTGTCTGGATTAATAGTCACTAGTCACAATGCTGATTTATTGGCTCTCAAGGTTGTTCCTCTTGATCTCACAGTTTCAGTATATCGTACCTTACTTCCATCCGGTATTTGCTGTATTAGTGTTTTTCAAGTGTGGGGCTTGGGCTAAGGTTTTTGTCTCATTGTACTTTATGGTAATGACTTGTAATACAATAGAATCATTGATCATGAAACTGATCTGGCTTATGTTCCCAGTGTGGTCACCACCTTTATACTTTGGGAGGTATATAATAGAAGTGCTTAGCAATTACACTTCTTTTTTCTCCTTCTCGGGTAGTCAACCTGTGAAGGAGACATTCTTTTACCCTCCCAGTCCTCCCCCCAGATCATTTACCTTTGAGAGTTTTGAAGTTTTTGAATGGCCTTTTAATGGTGTTGAGACTTGTTTGCTGATGGTGATGGGAATCACCATGTTGGCACGCATACAGAGTGTGTTTTGCCCCTGACTGATTTCAGGAGTTAAGCAGAGTCAGGTTTGGGTCTTGTCTGGGGTCAAATGACGATGTAGGAGGACCAAGAGATTTTCCCTGAGGCTGGACAGTCATGAGTGGCAGGGTGTGTGGGATAGTATGGGCAAGTACCTAGGTCGGTGAGCCCCTCCAGTACTTTGGAATTTCACCACTGAACAACTGCAAAATCCAGAAGAATTAGTAAAACACTTAAATGAGGTGTGTGGTCATTCTGGCCATACCAGAGATGGACAAATCATGGCAATGTGCTGGGGCTTGGCCTATGTTTACAGGGCCTTGTTCAACACTATCCAGCACCTTCAAAAGGAAAAGAATGTAAGAATGTCGGTGGATGTTGACGGTGAGGAGAAGCAAGACTCACCAACCCAGTATGGGTGATAAGCAAGTTTCTACTTTATTCGTGGTGCACATCGCTTATATCCGCATGGTGTTAGCCATGCCTACTAGTCACAACAGTATTGGTTAGTTCTACACGGCTTCCTTTACATTCTCCTCCCACATCCGGTTTCCGGTTACCTGTGAGGCCTACACTTTGCTTTGCTCGCACAAGGCCTCTAAGGATCCATGGCCTTGCTCTTGGAGCCATTCTGCAACAATTCCCCCTTTTTTCTTTTGTGCGAGCAAAACATTGTGGGTCATTCTGTTCACTTATTTCATTACACAACTATAAGTAAGTCTAACAACTATATATAAAGGGGGAGTGTCACGAGGATGAAGCCAGGCTCTACTCAGTGGCAAACAATGATAGGACAAGGGGTAATGGGTACAAACTGGAACACAAGAGGTTCCACTTAAACTTGAGAAGAAACGTCTTCTCAGTGAGGGTGACGGAACACTGGAACAGGCTGCCCAGGGAGGTTGTGGAGTCTCCTTCCCTGGAGACATTCAAAACCCGCCTGGACACATTCCTGTGTAACACTATCTAGGTGTTCCTGCTCCGGCAGGGGGATTGGACTAGATGATCTTTCGAGGTCCCTTCCAATCTCTAGCATACTGTGATACTGTGATAATCTTTCCCCAGCTTCAACTGACCGGGGATGTCTGTTCCTAGTTTCTCTGTTGCTACAGCGGCAATTTTCTTTTCCGCCTTATATTTTTTAATGCAATTTATTACTTCTCTCCAAGGCTTACCGAGATTCTTTGCCGTTTTATCATCATCAAGCATTAAGTCGAATAACTCATCACCAAACTTTCGCCACTCACTCTCCTCAAAAACTGTATTAGGATCTACAAAAAATCCCTTAGGCTTCCCTACAGCCCCTAGACCCCCTAGCTGCTTTAGAGTATCAGGCTTAATTCCCCGCTTTTCTAAAAAGCGCTGTAATAAATCAAGGGCTACCTCTCGGTCCATTTTCATG